TCGAGTTCGTGGTTGTGCTGCATCTTCATGGTGGGGGTCAGTTCGCTTCATGTATGACTCAGGGGGGTTTGAAGTGGGTAGTGATGCAGCTGCAGTGCGGCTTCTGGTCTGTGGTCGTGTCTCATCTTCTGTGTGGGTGTGAGTCTGCTTTTTACGTGGAAGTGTGGTGGTGGCATCTTGTGTGGCCCTCGTGGGTGTGGGTCTGGTGTCATTCATCATGTTAGGCACTCGTCTGTTCATGAGGGCGGGTTTTCAAATAGCTGGTAAGCGGGAGGTGTCATCTCTTTTATTCATGCTGTGTGGGCATTTTTCTATCTCTATGGCTTCTTTGATTATTCTGTTGTTGAAGTGTTCGGTTTTGGCGATAGTTCTGGTATTTTTAAAGTCAATCTCATGTCCTGTGGCTTTGAGGTGTTGGACCAGGGAAGAGGTCGGTTCTTCTTTTTTGATTGAGTTCTTATGTTCTTCAATGCGTGCACTTATTCTCCTGTTTGTTTGTCCAATGTATGTGGTGGGGCAGGCGGTGCAAGGGATTTCGTATACTCCTTGGTTTTCTAACTCGATTTTGTCTTTAGGGTTTCTTAGGATGGTGGATATTTTTCTGTTTGTGCAGAATGCTGTTTTAATATTGTGTTTTTGGAGGATCTTGCTGATTTTGTCTGTAGTGCCTTTTATATATGGGAGGAGGGCTTTGCCGTTCTCTTGTTCTCTGTCTTGGATTTTGGTTGGGGTTTCTTTTTGGATTAGGTGGGTAATCTTCTTTCTTTGGAATCCATTGGCTGTTAGTACGTTGGTGAGAGTGTTTAGTTCGGTTTTTAGGTGTTGTTCATCAGCTAAGCATTTTGTTCTGGAGATGAGTGTTTCAGCTACGGAATTGATCTGTGCTGGGTGGTGGTGTGAGAGTGCATGTAGATAGCGGTTTGTATGTGTTTTCTTCTGGTAAATGGTGTGTCCTAGGGGAGCCATTGGGTTTTTTGTATACTAAGACATCTAGGAAGGGAAGTTGATTGTTAGCTTCTGTTTCCATGGTGAATTGTATTTTGGGGTGTAGGCTGTTGAGGTGTGTGAGGAAGTTGTTCAGTTTTTCTTTCCCGTGTGGCCAGATTATGAAGGTGTCATCTACGTATCTGAGCCAGAGTTTGGGTTTGTGATCATATTTTTCTAGAGCTTGTGTTTCAAAGTGTTCCATGTAGAGGTTTGCGATGACAGGTGAGAGGGGTGATCCCATGGGTGCTCCTTCTATTTGTTTGTATTTTTGTCCGTTGTAGGTGAAGTATGTATTGGATAGATACATATATATATTTGTTTTCTGAGGTTCTCGCGGGTATTTGTATGTGGATCTTTGGTTATTCAGGTTTTCTCCCGCGTAAGATTGGAAGTATCTAGGCAACGTTTCGATGAAGTCTCATTCATCATCTTCAGGCTTGTGTCTTCGGCTCTGTGCTTCTCGGAGTGATGTGAGCTTGCAGTTGCTTCTTCCTTTTAACTGCTAGTGGGGGTGTGACTTAATTGGGTGGGGGCTTGGCTGTGTTCTGATAGGGTGGGGGTGTGTTATCATTGGTTGGGGGTTTGGCTGTGTTCTGATTGGTTGGGGGGTTGGCCGTGTTCTGATTGGCTGGAGGCGTGTTCTGTTCAGGTGGGGGCTTGGTTGTGCTCAGGTTAGTCTTAGTTGCTGGGGGATTTGAGCTGGTGAGCTGTGATCCTGCTGTTTGGCTTCGAGTTGAAGGATGTGGTTGGCCTAGCTGTGGGGGCTGAGGTAAGCCAGTGCAGGACAGCTCCATTCCTCACCTTGCGGAGGTGGTACTGGCATGCTATGTGACCTCCTACCCTGCCGCAAGCAAGCAGAAGTGGGCCTCTTGTACATGAAAAAAACAAGACACCCCCCCCCAAAAAGAAAGTAGGATCCAGACTTATTTTCTGGGAAACATGGGTATGTATGTATGTACCAGTATGTATGTATTGTATGTATTATGTATGATTTTAAGAAACAGGGTTTTATCACTGTATTAGGCATGCCATATTGAGAATGCAAGGTTGACTCCCAAAATTCATTTATGGCTGTCACTACAGGAAGCTTTTTTTAAGAAGAGAAATGATATTTACATTTGGTGGTTGATATGGTAGTTAGTTAATTGACAGGCTAATTTATTGATTTTTTTTGGAGGAGAACCTAAATTGAAATCAAGAGAAGATTTGGTGGGTCCTATTTGTTTTGCTACCACTTTTAACTGTTTGGTTACTTTTCCAAACTTTCTTTCTCTGATCATTAAGCCATTAGGAGTTTTTCCCTCTCTTATCTGATCATTCCTTTGGCAGAATCTCTTTCCCTCATTCCCCAAGGTCATCTACACATTCCATTACAGTATTCTTATTAAGACAAAAATCAATGAAATTATCAATGGTAATTTGTTGAAATGACATAAAGATCAATGGTATTTTTATAATACAGGTAGTCCTTGAGTTATGATCAATTTGTTCAGCAACCATTTGAGGTGACAAGATGCTGAAGGAGGGGATTTGTGACCAGTCTTTGAAGTTCAATATGATTTCTAATTGGTGGTTTGGGTAATGAAAGAAAATGTTTTGGAAGTACTGGTTTAGACTATTAAGTACAATAGACTGCTCTGGGCAGAAGTGCAAATCAAAGCTTCTGTGACAGGTGGCAGTTCAGACTTTACTTGAATACATTCAGTGATGAGCATACTGCTATCGTATGATTTACTTTCAAGTTGTGGGGTTTTTTTGGGGGGGGGATAATGAACACAGACTTAAATGATACCATAACTAAATGAAGTGGTGATTTTGAAAATGAAAGAAAGAACATTCCTTTGGATGTCATTGAAAATATCCATCCCTATTCCAATTTTCTCTCAATAAGCTCCTTATAATATTACATTTGTATTTGTGAGACATTGCAATTATTGTACATTTAAAAAAAAACCTATTTATTGTTTTCATAGTTTATAAAAACTAGAATAAGGATTAAGTGACTTTACCTTTAGAAGAAACTTTGCAAAAACTAGTGGATTTTAAAACAGCTTTTCTTTCACAACAGATGCACTGCAAAGGTTAAAGAAGTTCAATGAAATTGTTCCAATTTGTATTTGGGTGCTTGGATCTACTTCTAAACCTCCTGCCAACATCAAATTAATATGTAAAAAAGAAGATTACTTGAATTATATTCAGTGTCCTTCCATTTCCTCATATGTGATTGTTTATTTTAACAGGAGGAAAAGTAATATGGTGCGATGATTACAAATGTCTATCACAACTTTGTCCACAGAATAATTATTGAACTGATCCTATTAAAACATTATTCATGGCCACAATGCCATTGTTATGCATATTACACAATTGTAAAATAACCTGTAAACAGAAAAAGCCCTCTTTGATTATCTGAATTACCCAGAACACAACCTTTCCCAGAAGCCTAAAAAGCTATACAAACAAAATTACAGAAAAATTCATATGAAAAGACCAAAGATCATGCAACTGAACTACTGTATCATATAAAGAAGTACTAAAATATATTCAGTACAAAACAATATTTAACTTACTTACCTTGCATATATCAGTGGCAATGTTGAGAAATGAGGGAAAGACTTTTTCACTATTGTTAGCGGATAATTCTTTGCACAGAGATCATATTGTATCCTACACATTTTTGTATTTCCAAAAAATGTTATAGGGAGGTGTATAGTTACTGTTTTCCTTTTCAGACAATTATCTTTGTGTCCTCACCTTGTTCGTTTGTGTTCTGCCATATGGATACATTGTTATGGTATCTTTTGTCTTCGGTCACCAGGGAGTTTTATTTGCTACTTCCATTACCATAATCATTTGTTACAGCAAATAGGTGCAATTTCAGGACTGCCACTGTTTTACCTCATCACATTTATTTACCTTTCCCTGTAAATTTAGTTATAGTGTCTTGTGTTATATGAACTGTATTGTAACCGATCAGTCCAATTTGATGTTGTTATGTGGTATTACTAAATAGTTGGAATATTAGTTGTGTGTTGGGGAGATGGACTGAAAAAGAGTTGTATATAGAGTATGCTGCGGAGGTTATTTCTGAGTTCTTACGGTTAGATCTTGAATCCGCAGAAGGAATATGTATTAAGGGACAATAAGGAACACACTATGCGTTTATGAGACCAAATTGAATATTAAATCCACTACTAAGCAATCTTTGGCTGTGTTCTGAGTTCTAATTGGGTCTAACTGGGTCACCAAGATGCTGCAAGTGGGTTAACTGTCAGAGTATATTCATGAACTGGAATAGAGCTTAGTCACAAGGTCAGCCAATAAGAGCTGAATTGAGGGCTGAAACTTAAAGAGAGAATCTGGGCATGGTTTATCTCTGTACTGTGCTTAGCTCTAAAGTGAAAGAGAAACTAGCTTGCTTGCCTGCTGAAGTTGAGTTGCTGCTCTCCTCTGTAGCATGTCTGCTTCTGTTTGAGTTTGCTCCATGTTGGAGAAATCTACAACTGGTATTGTAAAATTTACTTGTGTTTATAAAGAAGTTAAATGAAGCTTCAGCCATCTGTGTTTACTTTTCTGGCACTGAATTTACACTGCAAAACTCTGAACATTAACAAATATCTAGAGGTGATGGAAATCTAAAAGTAAATGTAGATGAGCCAGCTTAGAGCACTTTGGAACAATTCTACTGTGGCTTTGGGAGTGGATAAAAGAGATTTTTCCCTTCCATCATTGCAGCTGTTGGAAGGTCTCCCTGCACCCTGATTTTGCACCAGTATTAATACAATGGGAGGTGGTACTTTAACACTTGTGTTAAGATTTTCAGCAACAACTCTCTCTCTCACTCACCCCTACACAAAGAAATGGCATTTTTCTTCCACAAAATATCTTCCTTCCGGGATCCAAATATTATTAATATGCATATATGAGCACACCACTCTGTAGTAAAATTAATTTTGGATAAAACAATCTTTATGGGAAAATCTGTATGAGTAATGTAGGATGTCATTTTTTACCTGTTTCTATTGCTGGAGATCCAGTCAGAGATTAGAGTTGCAGCCTGCTGGTGGCAATGCTTGTTACCAAAGCTGCATGCCAGCATAATCACTTCACGGCGGAACTCCCTGTGTACCCAAAGACAAAACTAGCATTAACCTGATGCTACTAAATATATTCACATTCTCAGGAGAAAATACACCACTGTTGCCAAGATTTAAACCAATGTTCCTCAAATTTGGCAACTTTAAGATTTGTGTACTTCAACTCCCAGAATTCTCCAGCCAGCATGATTGGCTGAAGAATTCTGGGAGTTAAAACACACATATCTAAAGTTGCCAAGTTTGAGAAACACTGATCTAAACTAATATTTAAGGAAGACATGCATATGAACCAGGGGTGGGATGCAATTATTTTTACTACCCGTTCTGTGGGCATGGCTAGGTGGGAGTGGCTAGGTGGACATGGCTTCTTTTTTTGTGCAGCACCCCCCGCGCTGCATTTTTTTGGCCTTCTGGACCTCAGGGAAGCCTCCTGGGTGAATCAGTAAGACAGAGAGGGGGATCCTGGCACAGCTGATAATCAGAACACCTGATCATCGGGAGTAAGAAAAAAAGAGAAATACTGGTTCAGCCGAACTGGTAGGTGTTTTTTTACTACCGGTTTGGCTGAACGGTACATTTTTTACTACTGGTTTGCCTGAACCGAGCCGAACTGGTAGAATCCCACCACTCATATGAACAATGTTACAACTTTGTTCAATAATTGTTAAACAACAATGATGAAATAGACGTCATGGCCATGAAGCTCTCAACCTATCAAAAGTTCTATTGTAAAAATGCAGCCAAAATTAAATTACTGTTAGAATCAACGATTCTTTGAAATTCTAGAAAAAAAGAGGCAACATCATAATGGGCAATACGCAATGTGAATTTAGAAAATTCATTTAAGCTTTCCAATGAGCTCATGAGCCAAATAAACAGAAGATATAAAAGTTAAATCTGATTACCACTTTGAATTAAGTTTAGGAAATTCAGTTCATTAAAGCTATTTTGCAACAATTAAAAAAATAGAATTACTCATGCTGGTAGGAAGCTTGAACCAAAGATTTCTCCAAATTATTCATTGGCCATCCCAGCTTTAGATACATTGAAGCAACTTGTCTTAAGATGTACTCCTGAAATGAGAAAAAGGCTCTGCGTTAAATATTTTCATAGTCAATATGGATGTTTCATCTTGTCCAAAGCAAGCAAATGTATCTCAGACTGTCTCCTCTCCATTTTGAAAGAGTTATTTTAGTCTACATCAGGGCTGTTGTCGTGCGCTGGCCACACCCTTGCCCGGTTTAGGAAACAGGAAAACATCCCGATATGTCACATGTTGCTGCCATGATGATGTGAGTTTGATACCCCTGGTCTACATTATGCATAAATTTGTTTCCTGCATGTAAATTTTATGAATAAAAACACTGTGATTTGAGTAGAGTTTTTTTTTCCTGACCAAGACTACCTTAACTTTCTATTCGCAGTATCACAGCTAGCTTATAGGTCTTATTTTTTTTCCCAGTTGGTTTTTCTCAATTCCTGGTTATTGCCACATTTAAAAACCACTCCTTTCAATTAGTATTATACATGGAGTGCTGTATTCTAGATATTGATAAGTTTGTACATCAACATCTCTTAAAATTTATAATCATTTTTAGTGTGTTGATTTTGTGTTCATATCACATTCAGGAAAGTCAGAAATTATAGTTTTTGCAGTGCTACCAATGCCTCATAGTGGCTACTCTTGTCATAATGTTCATAATCAATTTTGTATGTATGTATGTATGTATGTATGTATGTATGTATATCTTCATTCACTAATTATGTGATCCATGGTTTCATCTTTTTCTTTACAACATCTGCATATAATATTGGAATTTGGAATTTTGTTTTCATTATTATTACTATAATTTTCTATAGAGAAACTAATGTTCCTGGTCAGACTGTTAAATCAATTGAGTATTTCAGAGGGTGTAAAATGCTGCAGAAAGAAAATAGAAAATGGAACAAATTTCTTGCTTCCTTTGACCTATAGAGTTTATATAAATTGGAGTTCATTCTGAAGTAACTAACTTTAGAAAGGGCTTAACATTGGATAAAGTTTTCTAATTTCAATATGAAAATACTTGAAAAGCTCCTGGTGCTTAAACATGTTAAACATTTGCTATTGCAGGCTATCCTTGACTTGCAAGTACATGTTTCAGTAAAGTCCATTATTAAATATTTACAAGCGACAGATTTAGGCCACATATTGTGATGAACTGATGGGTTTCACTTTCTTTATAGGTGTAGCTTTATAGGTATGGTGGCAAAATCACTACAAAAGCACCCAATTGATATAGTATTGAATAATATGAGCTGCATATCAGGATTGGACAATTTAATGAGGTCTGCCTTTCAGTGTCCTTTTAAATTGTTGGCATTTTTAAATCAATGACAATGTGACAATTTTCTACTTTTGGTACTTTACTTTTTACACCATTATAACATATGACTTTGTCATCAATAAGTCATTCTACAATGTCCTTATTATCAGACCAGCATGTTAAAAAGCAAAATATAACATTTTAAAAATATTTTGCATTATATTAATATAGTCTAAGAGTGGATAATCTTTATTTACAAAGCTGCCTAATTGTAAATGAAAAGACATAAGCAGACTTTGGCTCTAGACACTGGATGAAAGTGATTATCTGGAAACTTTTGAGTCAGGTTTCAGACCAGGTTATAGTCGTGACATGGCATTGATCACATGGGCTTTGCATGCAATTCACATCCACTTTTGATTCCATTGATCATAGTATCCTTCTGAGATGGCTTAGGGCAGGGGTGTCCAACCTTGGCAACTTTAAGACTTGTGGACTTCAACTCCCAGAATTTCTCAGCCAGCTTTGCTGGCTGAGGAATTCTGGGAGTT